TGTCAGATGGTTCTTGGCTGAAAGCAGAGAATACCAGAAAGATGTTTAATTGTGTTTTATTGACTGTGCAAAGGCATTTGATTGTGTGAATCATAATAAATTATTAATATTGAGAGTGGGAATTCCAGAATACTTAATTATGCTTAGGGATCCCACTGGTGGTGTGGTCCATAGCGACTTGCATTGCTTACTCAAAGGCAGGGCCTCTTGTGGTTTGAATCCACCAGCGGCTATGTGGAAAAAGATGGGCAGTCTCCTTCTGTGATACTGACAGCCTCCAAAAACCTGCAGGCTGGTCAGCTGTGAGTCAGTTCTGACTCACAACAACAAGGGTTTTTTAGTTAATTGTGCTCATGAGAAACCTATGCATGAACCAAGAAGCAGTCATTCAAACAGAACGTGGAATAGTTCCTGGTTTAAAATCAGAAAAGGTGTTAGAGTTGTATTTTTTGCCCATGTTGTTGTTAGGTGCTGTTGAGTCACCTGCAATTCATAGCGACCCTATATGTATATGACAGTTGTGAAACCAGTCTTAACTAACTCTGACACACCTACCCTCATTACCCCAGTTACTGCATCAATCCATCTCATTTAGGGTCTTCTTCCCTTGCCCTTTCTCTTCACCCTTCCAAGCATGATATCCTTCTCCAAGAAATGGTCTCTCTTGGCAACAGTATGTGAGTATGTGAAGCAGAGCTTCAAAATCCTAACCTCCAAAGAGAAACTTGATTTTACCTTCTCTAAGAGAGTTACTTATTTTCTTGGTGGTCCATGGTATATTCAAGACTCTTCTCCAGAACCACATCTCAAAGGCGTCAATTCTTTTTCTGTCATCCTTAGTCATTATCAAGCACTCTGATGCATAGCAAGCAATTGCGAATACCATGGCCTGAACCAGGCTCACCTTAGTCTCTACACAGACATCATTGCTTCTCAGTACTCTCGAGAGGCCCCTGACAGCAGATTTTTTTCCCAGTGTATTTTGTCTTTTGACTTCCTGACTGATGGTGCCAATAGTGTTGATTATGGAGCTGAGCAAGCTGTAATTGATAACTTCAGTCTCCTCCATTTCTCATGGTTCTGCCATTTGGCCCAGTGGTGAGAATCTTTGTCTTCTTGGTACTGCGCTTCAATCCATATTGAAGACTACAGTCCTTGACTTTCCTGGAGCACACTCTTCAGGACCTCCTCAGTTTCAGCAAGCAGGGTTGTGTCGTCTGCATAACAGAAGTTGTTGATGAGTCATCGCCCAAGCCGATGCCACATTTTTGCTCATAAATCCCAACTTCCAGAATGATCTGTTCTACATATAGATTGAAAAGGTTTGGAGACAAGATACACTCCTTCCCTGATTTTGAACCATGCGGTGTTTCCTTGCTCTGTTCTGAGGATTGCCTCCTGCTCTCAGTTTCTCATGAGCACAACCAAGTGTTCTGGGATTTCCGTTCACCTCAAGGTTAGCCACAATTTCTTGTGATCCACACAAATGTCTTTGCCTAGTCAGTGAAACACAGATAGACATTCCTCTGGTACTCTCTACATTCTGCCAGGATCCATCTGACATTGGTCCTAGTGTCTCTAGTGCCATGACTTCTTCTAAACCCATACATATTAAATTTCTTTGCTGAATTATTAAGTATGAAATTTCTGGTTGGGACGATGGTGTTTTGGAAATGGATGTTGTTAACGATTGAGTTGAAACCCCCTTTAGCTAACCCTCCATTAGGTTTCACTTGCATAGGAGGACACTGCACATCTTTCTCCCTCAGAAGAGCTTATGGATTTGAACCAAGTGCCCTGGGTTGGCAGCACAATTCCTTACCACTAAGCCACAGAACATTGTTATTGTTAGGTTCAGTCGAGTCAAATATGACTCATAGTGACCTTTGGAGCAACAGATCTGAACTCTTACCGCTCCTGTGCTGGCCTCATCATTTCTGACATGCTGGAGCCCATTGCTGCAGTCACTGTGTCAGTCCATGTGGTTGAGACTCTTCCTCAATTTCGCTGGCCTTCTACCTTTCTGAGCATGATGTCCTTCTCCAAGGACTAATAATAGCCTGTCCTGGCAGCATGCCTAAAATATATGAGACAAAGCTTTGTCAGAAAAGCTTACCTTCCAGAGCTGTAGTGGTGCATCTAATCAGCATCACTGACGTGGACCCGCAAAACATTTGCAGCTATACATTTTCTTGTATATAATGTACCACAATCATTTTAGAGAGAGAGAATGAAAGGAAGACCTTACAGAAACACAACGGAGAAGGGGAAGGTTCTAGGATACTTAGCTATTGTTGTTTTTGTTTTGCCGCCTGAAAAGCATCTGATTAATTAAGCAAGGTTTTTGCCAGGGAACCTTGGACATCATCTTGGGTAGGAGCAAGCTATTCCTTTCCTCTGTGGTTATAGCAAAGGCTAGTGAAGGAAGAACTTGCATTGACACTTCTCTGTTCACCCTCCTTCCCTCCAAGGCATTTTTGGGTGGCTCTTGGGTTTTCTTTGTCCTGAAGTGGTGGCATTGGGAGTTCCTTAAGGGTCTTAAAGCCAAGGCTCTTGATGAGTAGACCAGCTCTCTTTACAGCTTTCTTGAAACCTAATTTTGTTGGCAGTCAGCTCAAAGCGTAATTTAAATAATCTGAAATTCACCTGTTCAGTGCCCAGTACAGAGTTGCAGTAAATTTCTCTTGTGCACCGTCACCGCTGTGCCTTGTAGAAACACTCACCCTGAGAATCCCCCGTCCTTGTTTATGGTCCCCCTCCACCTGGGCTCCTCACACCCACTAGTTTGCGCTTCCTTAGCTTGACCTTTCCTATGACTGACTGTGGGATAGTTTTTTGCACTTGTCTTTGAACAAAATATTTTGAACTTCTCCATATTGTTAAGTTCATTCCATTTTATTGCTTAGTTATTCCATTCAACAATTTAGAGACACTTACAGTGTTTTCATTTGGGGTTTGTTTTAAATAATGCTGCTGTAAGCATTCGTATACAAGTTAGATTTTTTTTTAAACTGCTTTATTGTGATAAAATTCACATACCATACAGTTCATCCATTTAAAGTGCACAGTTCAGTGGCTTTCCAAAAATCCACAGACTCGTGCATTTGTCACCTCAGTCAATGGTAGAGCATTTTCGTTACCTCAGAAAGAGACCCGCCCTTCTGAGTGTTCACCTGCTAGACCTCCTGTTCACTCCACTTAGCCCTAGGTAACCACTAATCTACTGTCTGTCTCTGGACTTTTTGTGTTAATGAAATTGTACAGTATGTGGTCTTCTAGAGCTGACTTCTTTTAGCTAGTATAGTGTTTTCAAAATTTTCTGGTGTTGTAACATATCAGAATGTCATTTGTTGTATAATATTCTACCCTAACACTTATCCTTTGATGGACATGGGTTTTCCCCTTTTTTTGGCAATCATGAATAATGCTCCTGTAAATACCTCCTCCCCGCAAAAGTCCCCTAAACCCACTGCGGTCCAGCTCACAGCCACCTTCCAGTCGGATTTCCCAGGTTGTGAAACTTGATGGGAGCTGATTGCTCAGCTTTTCTTCTGTGGTACAGCTGGTGGACTCAAACCTCTGACCTTGCAGTTAGCAGCACGACATGTAACGTACTCTACAGCCAGAGAACATTAATGTACAATGTTCTGTGTGGGCATATATTTCTCTTGGGAATAGGCCGAGGAGTAGAAATGCTGGATCGTATATTGTTATGTACAGTGAGCAGCAGCCGACTCATAGCTGACCCTCCATTGGATTCAGAGGCTGTAAATCACACATGAGATTACCTTTCTCCTGCAGAGCAGCTGGTGGATTTGAACCACCTGCTTTTGAGTTGGCAGCACAACTAGGCCACCAGATCGTTGTTGAGCTGTATTTGACTGCTTAAGGAGTTTACACATTTCTGCATACGTGGGTTTTTTGCTTAGATGGGTGTTGTTGGGTTTTTTTTTCTCTCTTTTTTTTTAATTTCATTATTTTTTGTGTGTACCGTCAAATTAGATCTGACTGGTACAGGAGGACATTGTTCCTCCTTCTCGAGCAGAGCGTCTGGTAGATTTGAACTGTGTACCTCTGAACTTGCAGTTGCAGTTTCTTGCCACTAGGCCGGATGGGTGGTTTTCATATATTGCTTATGTACTGCGGGGAACCCTGGTGGCATAGTCCAGAGGCATTTGTGCTGCTGATAAAGGCGACGCCCCCTCAGGTGCTTCCACAGGAGAGACAGTCTCCTCTGTGTGATTTACAGGATCCCAAAAGTCCTCCAGAGGGTCAGCTCTGAATGGGTTCTTCCTTGATGGCTTTGACTTTGTTTCTGTAGCTGATGGGGTCACTTGTTACCACTTGTCTCTCTGTCTTGAGCTGTGAAGGGTCTCAACACAGAGAGACCAGCAGAACAGCACAGACTGCAGCTCTGTAGGACTCAGTCATTCAGTTTGCTCATTGCACACCTATTCACTGACGTCCCCCACGAGGCACACCGTCTGCCTGCCAGGACAGGTCTGCTAATGCGTGCCTGCCTTCACGAAGCTTCCCTTTTCGCTGGGATAATGAATGAGAAGTGATTGATAATAAGGCCAGTGCGCTGGGAGAGCTGTGAAGGCAGTGACCATGCTGTGTCACAGGGCTGCAGTGTGAACAGGCAGCAGGAACAGGACAAGATGAATCTCCCATGTTGGCCGACGGAGTTCTTGGCATATTCATAGGGGGATTGTGTTGCCAGGCCGTGGATCCGGTGACCGCACAGCTCCGGTCCTGAGCGCAGACACCCACAGGACGTGGCCACTGGGCCTTAGGCGGCTACTCTTCTGGAGGGAAGGCTGATGCACTCATTTCCTTTCTCCTTTTGTGTTCCTGCCTTTTGATCCCCTCTGTGCCTGCCAGCCCCCCAAAGCCTGCTTCTGCATCCTAGCCTGTCAGACTTTACAGAGTGCTGAGGGTCTGGGCATGGGGACACAGAAGGGCAATGTGTCTGAAGGGCTGTCTGTTCGATTCTGCAGCCCACCGTGGGACACCTCGACTCCAAGCCCAGCAGTAAGTCCAACATGCTGCGGGGCCGCAACTCGGCCACCTCTGCTGACGAGCAGCCCCACATTGGCAACTACCGGCTCCTGAAGACCATCGGCAAGGGAAACTTCGCCAAGGTGAAGCTGGCCCGGCACATCCTGACTGGGAAAGAGGTGAGCTGGGGCTTGGGGCCATGGCAGCACCTCCCGGCCCTGCTGACACTCCAGCAAGGGGTGACAGGGCTGCAGGCACCGCCAGCCTCTGGTTGGTCCGGTGGAGATGAGATCTGAGCCTGTGGAGGAAAGGGACAAAAAAGGAGCAGAAGACTGTAAATGGGGAGGCAGGTTGGAATTGTGGTTTCAGTCTGATCAAAGGAATAATCCAGTTTTGGGTTTTTTTTCCTTCATTTCAGGTAGCTGTGAAGATCATTGACAAGACCCAGCTAAACTCCTCCAGCCTCCAGAAAGTAAGCTTGGACATCTGTCCTTTCTAAACTTCTCTAGTGGTCAGTGACCTACTAGCCGCACTTGGCCTTTGGTCCTCTAATTTAGTCTTGGCTGTTTCATTGTCCACAAACCCCTCTGTGTGTTCCGCTACGTTTAGGCCTGTGGCTGATGCCCTGGGGTGACTCCTTTTGGGTGGGTTTTCTGGCTCCAGGCACTGGTTCGTCTCACATCATTCTGTCCCTTCCTGGCCACTGGGCCTACCTGTCTACCTGCTTCCTGCATCTCATTATCTCCTGGCCTGTGGCCAGCCTGACACAAAAATACATGTTTGTGGCCATTCTAGAAACACATGTAACTGCTCTCAGATCTAGAGTGACCCCCGGGAGTGGTCTCAGAAGCACAAAGATGAGAGAGACAAGGAACCTGCTTCTGGGTTCCAGGCCAGCTGCCTTTTGAGACTGGGGTCATTACAGGTGGTTCTTCGTCTCCGGCAATGTGAGCACATTCAGAACATGGGCTTCTCACCTTGCTTCCCTCTCTGTCTCGCTGTGGTTTTATAGAGGTGGTAGGGGGCCCTCCCAGTAAGAAGGAACATCTCCAACCAGGCCCGAGAACTACTGAAAGCAGTCAGGGCTGAGCAAAGAAAGAGGGCTGGCAGCGTGAGTAATCAGGAGTCTGTGAACACTTTCTAATGGGAAGGAAACAAAGAAAGAAAGAAGATGGATTATTTGCAGGAGATAGAAAGCTTGCCCTGTGTCCTTTGTTGTAAGCCAGACACTGCTTCCTCCTGTCCTGGGCATAGTTCAGGGGGGAGGAAGTCTCTAAAACCCTGTGTCAGAAGACCCTGCAAGCCCCTTTTTCAGTTAGCTAAGTTTCCCATATCCCCTCAGACCCCCGCCAGTCTGGACCTGAGTCCTGACAGTGACTGACCGTCTCAGTTGTTGTTTCCACTGCCATGCACGCCCCTCTTTTGCAGCAGATTGGACTTTTCTTCTCCTGGACATACTGTCTGATCTGAGTTGGGAAGAGTAGCACATCATGCACACAAGAGTCAAATACAATGAGACTAGAAAGCCTGACGCTGAGGGCTGGGTGTTTACAAAGGAGCTGTTCATATTAGAATGTATGCCTGGAGTTACCCCAATAGACACACAACCAAAACCAAGGTGTTTCCTCTGTTTTCTTAACCCTGGGATCCCCTCCAGCTGTCTGTTCAAAGGAAACATGGGTATCATTACTGGGACTTCCCTGCTTAGAGCTTTCTGGAAGGAACAGAAAGAAGGGCACTGTTAATATCCTAGCTCAGAGCCTTCCCTCAGAGGAGCCAGCTTAGTGTGGGCCGTTTGGGCTTTGGAGCAGTCCGACTGCCACTCCCACTCTCTGGTGTCAACCAGGCCCTCTGTATTGCCTGCCTTTCTTGTCCTTCCTCTCCGGCCAGCTGGCTGGAAGACACGTGCAGCCATATTCAAATCCTTTAATACGCTGTATCCTGTATTCTTCCTCAAATCCCTGTGGCTAAATGAGATTAGAGCAATGAATCCTAGGAAAAGAAAAGTGTCAAGTCAGTAACCTGAATTCTGGGCCATCCTCAGAACACTGTCACCCCAAGAATCCCACTTCTTGGCCAGTGAATAAATACTTGCCTGAAGATTCTGTTTTCATGAAGTTTGTATGTCAATTCGGATAGAGAGGCGGACTCCTAGCTGACCCTCCAGCAGGTTTTTCAAGGCAGTAAGGCAGATGACCAATCCTCCAGCAGAGGACCTGGTAGATTCGAACCATGTACCTTTGGGGTTGCAGCACAGCTTCTTACCCCTAGGCCACAAGAGGGATCCACTGCTGCAGTCTCATTGAACCAGAGGGATTTGGGCAGAATCTGATTGGCCTTCATGATGCAGTGTGTTAAAAGGATTTGAACATGGATATACATGTATTCCAGCCACCTGGCAGGAGAGTAGGATAGAGAGGCAGCCCATTAAATGACCAATAAGAGGGCAAAAGGAGGCTGGCTGAGAGGGCCCTGGGGCAGTTCTGGCCATGCTCTCCTGTCTTTGCCGTGGTGGGAACAGGCAAGAACTGTGTGCGTGGGAAGACCCCTGCTTTGTGCCCTCTAGGCCCCATTCGGGGCTATTCCCCATAGTCTCTGAAGAGTTATCCTGGACTTCTTCCTCTTCTCCCAAGACAACTTCTGGGCAAGGGAAGAAGCATGGAAACATTGGGCTCTAATAAGAAGGAAGTAGAGTCATAACCAGGTTTCTAAAGCTTGGAAATATCAGCCCTTAATTCCTCTCTCCAGCTCACAGAAGCTCTGGGGGCTCATTAAAGGACAGGATGAAAATGTATTTGCTTTTTCTTTAAATTGTCTCAGTTAGGATTCTAGATCCTGCAGTCACCCCGAAACAAACCCCAAACTCTGCTCTTTATGCGGGTGGTACAGACCGGAAGTTACCAGAGCCCCTACCTCTGGTTCTCTGCCCCCTCCCCCAGGGGAAGGAGTTCATTTCTGTCATTTTCTTTATGGAAATGTAGTATGGAGCCCCTGATTTTGTTTCACAAAGAGAGCGTGAGTGTGTGGAGGTGGATTTGATTAAAATTGGCATCAGCTATATATAGGAGTGGGTTCTTCTGTCACCACCCTGGAGGCCCAGGAGGGAGAAGTTTCTCCACTGGTGCTGAGTCCCCCAACTGCTGTAAGCCGTGCCCAGTGGCGTCCCCTTCAGCATGCCACCAGCCTCATAAAGACCAAGCCAGAGTGCCTGGCTCAGAATGGCCATGCCCATAGTCCAAACCTGTCCACTGTCGGGGCTGGATCAGGGTGGATAATGGCAGGGACATGGCTGCCTCACCCAGATAAGAACCTAGGGTAGCAGGTCAGCTGAAGAGGCTTCTCGTCCAGCCTTGGGCAGCCCTTCGCCCTCCCTCTTCGTGCCTGCCCTGCCGTCTGGGAAGGGCACGGGCCAACAGTCCTGCTTCTTTTTTTTTTTTTTAAATAATTGTAGTTGTTGATAACTTTTTTCTTCTTTCTTTTTTTGTTTTAATAAAATCTTACAGAGACATTGGATTTCCATTCATTCAGTTTCCTCCTTGCCCACCCCCCCAAGTTTGCATTTCTGTTTGAAAAGTTAAAAAAAAAAATTCTTTCACCATTTCCTCCTGTACCAGTCAGATCTAATTTGATGGTACACACAAAAAAAAATAAAATTAAAAGAAAAAGTTTTTTCACTGTTAAAAAAATCCCCTCCGCCCTCATCCTCTAGTCCTCTCCACTACGCAGCTCTCATTCTGGACTCTTGCCATGATCATATATTCTTGCCTAATCACCTATTCCTTCTAAACAATTCTCTCCCTCATCTGTTTCAATGCAGTTTACATTATTTATCCCCTCTTAGTTTCCCCTCAACCCCGATGTCAATCCCATTTTCCAACAGTGGCACTATGCAGTATTTGTCCTTTTGTGACTGAGATATTTCACTCATGATAATGTCTTCCAGGGTCACCCATTTTGTATAATATTTCATGAGTTTCTTGTTTTTCAGTGCAGCATAGTATGCCATTATGTAAATATACCAGAGCTTCTCTATCAATTGATTTGTTGATGGGCACTTGGGTGTTTCCAACTCTTTGCTCTTGTCAACAAAGCTGCAATAAACATGATGTGCATATAATAGCTGTTGATTTCTTACAAGATTTGAGGGAACAAGTTGAACAAGCTTAACCCCTGGTGTTTTATTTTCCAGCTTTTTCGAGAAGTAAGAATAATGAAGCTTTTGAATCATCCCAACATAGGTGAGGATGGTGGTCATCCCTTCCGTCCCTCTCAGGACCAGGTGTCCTCCATCCCTGGGCACTTTGCCTGTGGAGCCTGCAAAGGCCTCAGGGATGCCTCTGGGCCAAATTCACTCCACTGACCCCTGACCCTGACAGCAAGTTTTTAGAAGCTATAAATCGCAAGGGAGGGGATTTCCCATTTTTCTCTTGCAGCGAGCTGGTGGATTTGAACTGCCTGCCTTTGGTTGGACGTGCAGCTCCTTACCCTTAGTATCTGGCTAGTGTGAGAGAACTTGTCCTCAAGAGGGTGGGAGGCGAAGAGGAGGGAACCCTGAGCCCTAGGAGGGCCTGTGCACGTTGGGACTTGGTGTGCTGCGCTGCACTGCTGCTGCTTGGACTCACGGTGTGTGTGGCCTTTTCTCTTGTAGTTAAATTATTTGAAGTGATTGAGACTGAGAAAACTCTCTACCTTGTTATGGAGTATGCTAGTGGAGGTAAGTGTAGTATTGCCTCTACCTATCAGTGTCCCCCTGCTTCCCAGACCCTAGCAGGCTCTGACCTAGTTCTCGGCCCTGTCTCTTTCAGGTGAGGTGTTTGATTACCTAGTGGCTCATGGGAGGATGAAAGAAAAAGAGGCTCGAGCCAAATTCCGCCAGGTGAGTGACTCTGTCCGTGGAGCTTTGCACTAGCAGGAGGAGCAGCCTGTCAGTGACCTTTACAGGATCCTTTGAGCTTTGTTTTATCTCTGTGGCAGATTGGAACTAGGTCCTCAGGTCCCAGCTTAGCCAGCCCCTGTGGCCCACCCTCAAGTGCCCCGGACTGACCCTTCTTCCTTCCTTTCAGATAGTGTCTGCTGTGCAGTACTGCCACCAGAAGCTTATTGTTCATAGAGACTTAAAGGTAAGGCCTGCTGTCTTCCCATGGGGACTGGACTGTTTCCCCTCAGTATATACCAAGATGTAACATATCTGTCCTTAGTGTGCAAGGAAACAGCAGCCTTGAGTATTTGAGATGATAAGGAATCACCTGGGGCCTCTTGTGATAAAGATTTGGGCCAGAGGGTCTTGTTCTGGAGGGGAGCAGGGGGCTCCCACCACTTCACCTCTGCACATCCCCCTTGGTGCTGCCGTGTATGACAGACTGTCCTGGTCCTTCAGGCAGCTGGAGGCTGGCAGAGCAGAGTGTTAACTGTGTCCATGTCTGGGAAACAAGAGCTTTGCGGGCGTGCACACACACACTGTCTTTGCTGAGATGTTAAGACGGGAGGCCAGCCACCTAGTGAGTCTCCTGACCTTGATGAGGCAGAGCCTGACGCTGAAAGCTGTGTGCTCCCATGGCGGGGAGCCCGCCTGACCGGGCTCTGTGGTCCTTCCCCGTCCAGCCAGTTCAGGTGCAAGCACACCCTGTGCGTGGAGAAAGTTAAGACCGCAGATGGCTTCTCCAGGCACTCTCCCCTTCTCTAGGCTCCTCCTTGTCCCTTCACCCTCCTGTCATTTGGTTCCATGACATTTCCCATCTTACCCCTCAGGCAGAAAACCTGCTCTTGGATGCTGATATGAACATTAAGATTGCAGACTTTGGCTTCAGCAATGAATTCACCTTTGGGAACAAGCTGGATACCTTCTGTGGCAGCCCCCCCTATGCTGCCCCAGAGCTCTTCCAGGGCAAGAAGTATGATGGCCCCGAGGTAGACGTGTGGAGCCTGGGGGTCATCTTATATACACTGGTCAGCGGCTCCCTGCCTTTTGATGGACAGAACCTCAAGGTAGGGTGAAGTGCAGCCTTAGGTCATTTTTATTACTTTTCATCCTCTCGTCTCTTGGTTTACTCCTGACTTCTCACCTTGGCCTTTACGTTTCTCCCAAGCCGAACCCCAGAGTAAGGCTTGCCCAAGGTGGCCCCAGTTTAAAGGTGTGGTCGCTGCATGTTGTCGTGTGGCAGTGAGACTGCCCCTTGGGGTTTTCAAGGCTGTGGTCTGTGGAGGCGATGACCAGCTTTCCCCTGTAGAGCTGCAGTGCACTGGGATTGCCATTCTATTGGTTTGCAGCTCAGCACACAGCTGTGGTGCCCCCGGGACTGCCTTCTGCAGAGAGAGAGAAATGGGATGTGTGTCTGGCCTCCCACCAGGACACCCGGTGTTGGTGGGCCTCTGGCGAGCCAGAGTAAGAGGGCATGAGGTGTTCGGCATCATCCCTTCTTCTCTGGGGAGGTGCATGGTCTCAGGTGGTCCACCTCCTATTGTGTTGTTTTGTTTTTTTTTTAAATTCGGTTTTCCTGGCAGTCTTAAGCCCTAAGGATTCTGGGTATTAGTTTTCTTTGCTTGGTCTTGGGGTGATTTCAGTTTCCTGACCCTGGCATTTCCTGCAGGAGCTGCGGGAGCGGGTGCTGAGGGGGAAGTACCGTATTCCATTTTACATGTCCACGGACTGTGAGAACCTGCTCAAGAAATTTCTCATCCTCAATCCCAGCAAGAGAGGCACTTTAGAGGTGAGCAGCCCTGAGCCCACTGGCTGGAAGTCCTGATGGTTCACGAGGAACCTCTTACCTCAGCTTTCCCCTTCTCCCCCTTCTCTTCCTATCTCCCCAGCAAATTATGAAAGATCGATGGATGAATGTGGGTCATGAAGATGATGAACTAAAGCCTTACGTGGAGCCAGCACCAGACTATAAGGACCCTCGGCGGACAGGTGAGGCTGTGCTGGGCCCTGGGATCAGGCTGCCTGGGAGTCGGGACCAGCCTAACTGTCTTCTCTGTGCAGAGCTGATGGTGTCCATGGGTTACACCCGAGAGGAGATCCAGGACTCCCTAGTGAGCCAGAAGTACAATGAGGTGATGGCCACCTATCTGCTCCTGGGCTACAAGAACTCTGAGGTGCATACCCCGCTCCCCGTCCTGGTCAGGCAGCCTCGATGTTAGACCCCATGCCTTTGTCACCATTGGGAGCTCATCTCTGAGAAGATGTGCTCTCTGCTGGCCGGTCTTAAGCCTCAGCTCTGTCGTCTCGGGTTCTCTGGCCATTGCTTTCTCTTCATCGGTGAAAGCGTAGAAAGGCTGGAGGGGCCTGGGGCTGGCTCAGCTTTGGCTGCTTAGAATTGGGGCTGGTCAGTCTCCAGGTGACCAACCGTTGGTTCTGTCTGTCCGTCCTAGATGTCCGTGTCTGTTTTCCTGGGTTTGAATTTGTATCTTTTTGATTGCTGTCGAGTGTATGAACAAAAGACCCTAATGCCTTTCCATAGCTATCGTTTATTCCATTAGTGTAGTATTTTCTGTGGACTCTTGAGTGTGTGTGTGTGTGTGGGGGGGGTATGTTTATGTCTGTCCGTCCTCCTGACTGCAGGTCTGGAGAGTTGGTGCTGATTCATCTGCCCCTATAGGTCATGCTCAGGGTCTGCTGTGAGTCTGAGGGTGTTCATGGAAGTTGGGGTTTGATCCTCATTTGTGTCTCCCCATGTGCATTCACCCCTCATGGTTATTGCTGGGCTTCCTCCTCCTCAGGGACCTTCTCTTAACCTGCTGAAGGGTTGGTGCTTGGAGTGAGCCCGTATTGATGTGGAGGGCATATCCAGGTCCACCTCTGTTCTTCGGGTGTGTGGACGTGGAAGGACAGAGTGTCCGAAGTGAAGGACTGTGTCCCACCGCCTGTGATTCTGGGGTGTGCTTATGCGGTGGCACATGCTGCTTGAGGTCCTTGTGGGACCTCTCTTCTCCCCTGACGCCAAGTATCCTGTTCTTGCAGCTGGAAGGTGACCCCATCACCTTGAAGCCGAGGCCATCAGCTGATCTGACCAATAACAGTGCCCCGTCCCCATCCCACAAGGTACAGCGCAGCGTCTCAGCCAACCCGAAGCAGCGGAGATTCAGCGATCAGGGTATGTGTTGGGGCCCCAGGTGGTGCAGTGGCTTAAGTATTGGGCTGCTAACTCAAAAGTTGGTTTGAATCTACCAACTGCTCCACAGAGGAAAGGCGTGGCTGTTGGCTTACGATTTACAGCCTAGGGAACCCTGTGGGCAGTTCTGCTGGGTCGTGCAGGACCATGATGAGTCAGATTCGCCTCAGTACAGTGGGTTTGGGGTCTTTTGTTAACAACAGTAGCACAGTGCTCTGCCTTCTGCAGAGAGGTCCCAGGCTCTGGGGGCTTTGGGTGGTCCTGCTGGTTTTAGCTTCGTGGTGTCGGTGGCCTCAGGCCTATCACATAACTCTCCTCTGCTCAGTGGACTAGGCTTTTGCTAGGTTGCAGACAGGGTTGTAAGAGAGCACCCCACACACACTATGGGCCTCAGTGGGCCTGGCCTTACCCATTCTCCTCGCCCCTCTGGCCCAGCAGCTGGCCCTGCCATTCCCACCTCTAATTCCTACTCTAAGAAGACTCAGAGTAACAACGCCGAAAACAAGCGGCCTGAGGAAGACCGAGAGCCAGGACGAAAGGCCAGCAGCACAGCCAAAGTGCCTGCCAGCCCCCTCCCCGGCATGGAGAGGACTAAGACCACCCCTACACCCTCCACGGTGAGTCCCACCCAGCCCCCTCCTCCATTCACCGCTCTTCTCGACACGGGGGCTTCCTCAGACCAGCTTCCTTGGGCTGCTGCCACCCCAGCCTTCCTTCCTGGGCCGCTTTGAAAGCCAGGGCAGGAGTAAAGGTAGAGCCCTGGTCTGGGAGTGGAAGGTGCTGGGAAAGCTGTCTGCGAACCAGGGTGGGGGCCTGACCACAAGTGATGTTGGTTTTCTGTCATCTCTGTCCTCTTTATTCCCCACAGAACAGCGTCCTCTCCACCAGCACAAATAGAAGCAGGAATTCCCCACTTTTGGAGAGGACCAGCCTTGGCCAGGCCTCCATCCAGAATGGCAAAGACAGGTGAGCGGGTCCATCCCTGCCTGCCACACTCCCTGGGAGCGCGCATAGAGCATGCCCAGAGCAGTGACATCACGGCGGCCCATTGCCGCTCCCAGCCAGAGCATCGCTCCTGCTCCAGCCCTTCATCCCTGCTCTGTCCAGTCGGCTTTCTACATCCTGTCCCTCCTCACTGCCTCCCACCGTCTTGTCTGCCCGCTCCCCCCTCCTCCCCGCCCTGCCTGCCCCCTGCAGTGTTCTAAGTGCATCGTTCAGTGGGCATCGCCCCACAGCCTCGTTCTGCAGCTGCCCTCCTCTGGGCACCGGCACCTCCAGCTTTGTTCCAGGAATCCCAGTTCAGGGCAGAACCTGGAGTTGTCCATCTAAGGGGAGTTCCTGGCCATTCCATCTCCCTCCTCCTTTGAGAGCACAGCTTCCCCAACTCAGGCAGGCCCCGCCTCTTCTCAGCTTCCTGACAGTTGTCCTGAGCAGCATCCAGCTCTTTCTGTAGGAGAAACTCCGTGTTGAGAGTCCTAGGAGACCAGTGTGGCCCGCAAGCAGTTCCTCGTGTTCCCTTTCCTCTTCCCAGGCTCCAGCCTCCATTTCCAGTCCTCACACCTCAGCTCTGACTGCACCCCCTGTTGCTCCCCTGCTGGAACCTGACCCACGTCCTGCTGAAGCTCCCAGCCCTGATCTTTGCCCTGCCCTTGCTTTCTAACCCAGGCCTCCTGCCCCACCCCTAACCCAGGCCTCTTCGCTGCTTTTGTCTCCTAGCCTAACCATGCCAGGGTCCCGGGCCTCCACGGCTTCTGCTTCCGCCGCAGTCTCTGCGGCCCGACCCCGCCAGCACCAGAAATCCATGTCGGCCTCCGTGCACCCCAACAAGGCCTCTGGGCTGCCCCCCACGGAGAGTAACTGTGAGGTGCCGCGGCCCAGGCAAGTGTGTTGGGGCAGCCGACGCACCTGCTGCCGTCAGCCAGCCTCCCTCCCTCCCTCCCCGCAGCATTCTCTCCTCCTACCTGGGGGCCTGCTCTCTTCTTAGCATCTGAGCCATCCCCAGTGGCCCTGCCCCTGCAGCCAGACAGTGAGAGACCAAAACCACCCTTTGTATCCCTCCTCCATCCAGCTCTCCCCCAGAGCAGGTGTGAGGCAGTTGGCCTGAGGCTCCGGAAGGAAGCCTTTGAGCTCTGAACCTACCCGGCCTTGCTTAGGACCAGTCTCAGGGACTGAGGCCTGAGGATTGGCCAGCACTGTCCTTTGTTTAAGTCACCAGGAACCACTTCTCTCCGGCCTGTCTCACCTTCCTCACCTCTCCCTTATTGCCCCGCTTCCCAGCCATCCTTTCCCTGTGCCCCCTAGGTGTCCACCTCACTGTGTCCTCAGTGGTCACCCCCTTCCTCCTGTGTCCTCCCTGATGGCTGCCTCTAACCCAGCATCCCCCTTCCCACCCTAGGGCACTCAGGCACCGGCTGACAGCGCTTTTCTGTACACTTACACACCCCTTGCCCCCTCTCCCCACAGCACAGCCCCCCAGCGTGTCCCTGTCGCCTCCCCCTCCGCCCATAACATCAGCAGCAGTGGTGGAGCCCCAGACCGAACCAATTTCCCCCGAGGTGTATCCAGTAGAAGCACCTTCCATGCCGGGCAGCTCCGACAGGTGCGGGACCAGCAGAATTTGCCCTATGGTGTGACCCCAGCCTCTCCCTCTGGCAACAGCCAGGGCCGACGGGGAGCCTCCGGAAGCATCTTCAGCAAATTCACCTCCAAATTTGTACGCAGGTGAGCAGGGAGCATAGAGACGCAGAAGGACTGACACCAGGCCTTTCTCTGGGCCCCGGGGGTTAGGGTGGGACTCTGAACTTGGGGGATAGGCTAAGCTTAGGGAGCCCAAGAAGTTAGCCCAAACTGAGGGTGGCGGTGGCCTTTGTCCACCCTGCCTGTGCCTAGACCCTTCCCTTCTTGGGTCTCTCCCCAACTCTACACACACCCCTTATTTTCTGGCCCCCAGCAGATGGCCGATACCGCCTCCTCTCTAGGAGAGTGTGAACGCAGATGCTAAAATAAAAGCCCCCTCTTCTCTCCTGGGTTCCCATGGAAACTTATATTTGGTGACGCAGCTGCAAAGTCATGAGGCACGAGCCAGGCTGGGCCAGCAAGGAACATTTGCCTTTTTCTGGTCTCTCTTCTCACCCCCTTTGACCTCACCTCCCCAGTCCAGTGATGGTAGTTTCAGACAAGAGCAGGCCTACAGTACGCCTGCCCCGGGCCTTCCTGGATGAAAACCCCCGGAGCCCGAGTGGCCTGTGTCTCTTTGAGCCTGGCACACCAGTGCTGGGGTGCTGGGTTCTGAGATGCCCCCCTGCCTCTCTCCAGCCCTTCCAGCTCCATGTCCTGGGAGCAGGAGCCCAGGAAACCGCGGGCGCCTGATAGCGGGTCCATTTGCCCTCCTGTGGAGGAGCCCAAGACTGCCATCCCGTCCTCGTCCTGGCACACAAGTGCCCAGGCGCAGGGGTGTGTGGACCCCGGGAGGGGAGGGGTGGGGCAGATCTGGATATCGCAGACTCGAGTCTCGCTGAGCGGCTCTTCCAAAGGGAGGTGACCCCTAACCTGGAGAGCCCACTCCCACCTGCTTATCCACATACCGTCTTGTTGGTTTTTTTTATTTCTTTTTTTATTTTGTCTTTTTTTGTTTGTTTTTTTTTTTAGAAATCTGTCTTTCAGATTTGCCAGAAGGTAGGCGTTGAGCCCCCTGGGTGTGTGTGTCTGTCCTGTGTCCTGCCTTCAACATTAACTTCCCTCTTCTTGCTCCCTCGTCCTCCTCCTGCTAACTGAGGATGAGTGACCCCCCTCACTGCCATCTTAAAGGGATGAAGCCTGCCCTCTCTGCCCACAGGGCACACAGCTTTGAAGAGGGAGGGCCTGGAGCTCACAGCTGTGCCTGTCTCCATTCAGGGGGGCTTACCCAGGGAATTCTCCCTTTAAGATTGTCCTTGTCTCCCCTCAGGGTCGTCCCAGTGTTGGGCTCCTGTTTCTGTCCTCTCCCTGCTGTGTGCATGCTCACTGGGTCCTGCTTCCTTCCGGCCTCCCCTGAACTTTGGGGCTGTGTAACCTCCACCCCGTCCTGTGGGGTGACAGACCTTTAGAGATATGGCAGGGACGCAAGGGCCTGGGTCGAGGTCAGTCCTCTAGCCCCCGGGCACCTTTGCTTGTGGATGGCGGTGGGCCACAGCGCCCCCTCCTGGCCACTCCTGCACAACTGCTGGGCTAGCCAGTACGCCTGCCTCCAGTGCTCTCCTCTGCGGCCTAGACAGCCGGAGGCTGCAGGGTTCTAGGGTCCGTATTGCCACCCGGTCCTAAGGAAGACAAGAAATCCCACTCTCCCGGTTTTCAGACCTACTACCCAGGCCCCTTCTTTTTGCTGGAGGCCTGGGGGCTTGGCCTTTTCAGGAACAGTGGTGGTGCTGGGGCTGGAACACGTGGCAGTCACACTAGGGCCGCATCTCCTTGAGAAACTGTCAAGATGTTCTCAGGCTTGCCCCTGCGCCGATGAGCCCTAGGCTGTCACTGCATGGCTGGTCATTACTGCCCAGGGTGGCCCCTGCAGGGCAGGAGCCAGGCTGTCTGGGGGGCTAGGAACAGCTGCCTGGTCGGAGTGGGCTTGTTTGCATTCTGTCTTGTCTTTGTGTTCTTTTCCATGTACTGTTGCTGCTCCCCTCCTCTTCCTCGTGCCCCATCCTCCACAGCCCCCAAGTTCCCGGCTCAAGGCACCTGTCTACAGCCGGGAGCTGGAGAAGCCGCTCAGCGGGGCCATGATGCCCACCTGCCCTGCCCTCCGTCCTCCCTTCTGCACAAGCAGAAGCAGATGGCTGGCAGGCAGGCTGGCAGATGAGGAGTTAAAAGTGGGGGAGGCAGCCTTCTCCTTCCCACAGCAGGGCCTCAACCCAGTAGGCTCAGAGGGCTTGTCCCTTGGGGCCTCCTGAAAGAGACCCCCACACACTGCCTTGCCCCTTCTCCCACAAAGATCCACAGAGAACGGACTCTTCCCTCCCGCCCTGGGATAGAAGCCCACCCAGTGCCAGCAGCAGGCCTGGTGCTGCATCTTTGTGCGGCAGTTGAGGCTCCTTCTCCCCAGCTCTGAGTGTGGGGGGAAGAGGACTGTGTCGGGCTCCCGGTTGGTCAGGGACAGTCGAGCTGCCAGGGCACAGTGCCGCAGAGCCGTCTTGGGCTGCCAGGTGACGGGCTGATGGGTCCAGGTCCTGCTGCACCTGCCCGTACCCGCCCTCACCTGGCTCGGTGGCGGCGGAAGGAGCGAGAGGCCCCAGCACTAAACTCTCCCTCGCTCTGTTTTTTGAGGAACCTGAATGAACCTGAAAGCAAAGACCGAGTGGAGACGCTCAGGTGAGCGGGCTGGCCCAGCCCCAGCCCTGCCCGCCACGGCCTCCTGCTGCTCTCTTCCTTCTGCCGCCTCAGCTCTTCTCTGGCGGTTCTGCCCTGTCCCCACCCTCCTGGGGCCACCCTCTCAGACCAGCCCCAGCCCCCCACGACAGTGGGGCCCTCCTCCAGGTGTGCTGAGTCCTGGAGGGAGGAGCCCCGGGCTGGGCGGCTGGGGCTGCGGACTCCTGCCTGCTGCCTAGCTCCCCTCTGCGCCCCCACGTCCTCCTGTCGCCAGGCCACACCCCGTTTCTCCCTGCACCTCCCCTGGCACAGGAGGACTTGCATGGGCTGTCCCCCCTCGGGCGGCTGGCCTCCGCCCACGCACCGGCCCCCTCGACCAGGTTCTAACCACTCCCTCTTCCAGCGCCGGTTGCTCCCTCTCCTGGTCTCCGGGTGTGTCTGCCTGCCAGGGGGGCTGTCCTGGGGGTGGCGGCCCCGACCCCCGCCTCACGGCCGCCTCTGCCTTCCCCGCAGACCTCACGTGGTGGGCGGCGGAGGCGGCAACGACAAGGAGAAGGAGGACTTCCGAGAGGCCAAGCCGCGCTCGCTGCGCTTCACGTGGAGCATGAAGACCACGAGCTCCATGGAGCCCAACGAGATGATGCGGGAGATCCGCAAGGTGCTGGACGCCAACAGCTGCCAGAGCGAGCTGCACGAGAAGTACATGCTGCTGTGCGTGCACGGCACGCCGGGCCACGAGGACTTCGTGCAGTGGGAGATGGAGGTCTGCAAACTGCCGCGGCTCTCCCTCAACGGCGTGCGCTTTAAGCGGATATCGGGCACCTCCATGGCCTTCAAAAACATTGCCTCCAAAATAGCCAACGAGCTGAAGCTTTAACAGGCTGCAGGAGCGGGGGAGCGGGAGGCGGCCAGCTGGACTTAGCTGCTGGGGTCTCCGCGGCGCCACGGGCGAGATGCAGACTGGACTAGGTGTCTCCCCCTGCTGGCCCTCCTCCCTCCCTGCCCGGCGCCCTCCCACACGTCCACCCCTGTCAGAAGCCCTCCTGCGCCCTGTCCCCCCGCCGGAGGCAAAGCCGGGGGGAGGGCGGGGCAGGGCCCCCGGTACTGCGGTTGCACAGAGTATTTCCCCTAAACCAAGAAATTTTTTTATTACCAAAAAGAAAAAAGAAAAAAAATATCCCAGCGGCCACCTTTCCTCCCTGCCCCACGGGGACAGTCACGACTGGATCTCTGGGGTTTCCCGGGAGGTGGCTCAGGGCTGGAACACACTCAGGCAAGAGTGGTGGAGTTCCCTGTCAGCCCCTCCGCCAGGCCCACCGGGCTCCTCCGCGCTCCTTCCCTCCACGCAAACCACCAGAGGTGGCCTTCCCCCAACCCCGGGCCCACCTTGAGGCCTGGGCAGCTGTGGACTGGGGTGGGCGGGCTGGGAGCTGCTGGGGGCTGTGAGGTGGGGCTGAGGGGCAGTGGGCTCCCTCCACACTGTATCCTCCGCCCACCCTCCTTCCAGAGCTGGGCATTTCCTTCCACAAGCTGCTGTGGGGCTTTCGTCCCCTCCTCAAAGTCTGTGCCATCTTCCCCACCCCTCCCGGCTCGGAGGAGGGGCTGACCCAGGGCTGGGAGTGGGAGGGGCTGCAGGGCAGATGGTTCCAGAGGCCCCCCCCCCCATTCCCCAGCCGCTCACTTGTTCCCCAGGATCTGGGTCTTCTCCGTTCTGGGAGAGCCTTTGTCTGGAAGCACACCCCTCCCCGGCCCGTCCTCCTCGCTTCCCCTCGTTGGCATTAATCTGGGCACCAGCTCCTTCCATGCAGTGACTTCCTCACGCTCTCATCTCCGCCTTGCCTTTCTTCCTGACACTGTCGCCCCTCCTCTCAGGAGACACAGCCCTGGGTCTTCCTGGCCACCTGGCCTGGAGGGCCTGGCCCTCACGTGGTGGGGGACAGCAGGGCCAAGTGGCTCCCAGCTCACCTCCGCGGCCAGTGTGGGAGTTGGGGGGGTTTGTGGGCGCTTGGCTGGTGGCGGCCGCTGCATCCCTTAATTTATTTCTCTGCTGTTTCTGTTCTTGAGAAAATTGAGGGAGGGAGCCTTGCAGAGGCTGCCCAGACCCTCACCTGAGTTGTACATTTTTTTGTGATGGGTTTTATTTTTTATTTTATTTTTTTGATTTATGATGACTCCACCCTTGCTCATCACCCCCACTCCCAGGCCAGGCTCAGTGGCAAGTCAAGCCCTTGGGTCCCAGGAAGGGGCCTTGCCAACCTCAGCCCTCCTGCCCCATGCCCCCGACTGTGGGCTCCGGCTCAGACCAAGGGCTCCCCTCCCTCGCCTCCCACCTGTGGAACAGCCCGGGTGCTGAGGGGGCCAGGAGGGCATGGCTTGGCCCCCAAAGGGGTGGGGGTCGGGGCACCCAGGCAAGGTGGCCCCACCCCACCCAGACCCCCCCTCCTGCACTTAGTCCCTCCTCTGGATCAAACACGTAATAAAGAGAATGTTTGGAATCTGAGCTGCCTGGTCCAGTTTCTTCTAGCAGCCAGTGGGCAGGGACCCAGTCCCCACAGGCAAGATGTGGCCCAGCCTGCCCATCTGAAGGAGAACTAGCCAAGGCCCTGGGCCTATATGGCCCCATCCACAGAGAAGAAGGACTCGGTGAGCTCATGAGCTTTTATTTATTAAAAACATTGAAAAATAAACCTAGGTCTTGATGCCCTTCCTGACCTCCTCTCCAAGCTTGGGCAGCAGGCATCGCCCATCCCTGAGGACAGCCGTTCGTCCCCCACCAGCTTCTGCTGCCGGTCCCCAAGGGACCTCTGGCTGCCTCGCCCTACAAGTCCCCCGCCCCAGCTCACCCCAGACTTATTGCTAATAGAGGGGGAGAGGCAGCACTTGGATGTTCTCCCCTCCACTACGTCACTACCCCCACACGAAGGGCGGAGCCCAGGGCCCTGCCCCAGCAGCCACTCCCACTAGACGTGGATCCTCAGGCCCAGCTGTCAGTGGGGACTGGCTGCTGGCACCACGCAGAGCTCACGTTCAGGCTGTGCCCACTGGCAGCTCTGGGTCTCCCCACGACCCAGGCAGAGCCCTAGTCCTTTCTGTCCTTGACACCAGCGATGTCCAGCAAAGGGGTTCTGGAGCCCGCAGTTGAAGGACCTCAGGGCTCAGAGTGAAGGCGCCGGGGGCTCCAGGGGGGCTCCGATGAGGGTGGGTGGGGGCTGGGGTCCTGAGCGAGCACTGTGGCGGGAGGCAGCCAGAGCAGGGCGGATGAGTGGAGGAGGGGGCTGGTTAGGGGCCAGCCGGGGCTGGAGGAAGCGGCCCTGCTGTAATGGGGGCGGCTGACGAAGCAGAGTGGGTGCTGTGGGCAGGGGTGGCCTCAGCAGTGGAGGGGGCTGCGACAGCGAGGTGGGAGGTGGAGGGGGTGGTGGTGCAGGGGGCACCGACCGAGGCGCAGATGTGGAGACAGACATGATCTGGACCTGAGAGGAGAAAGGAGGATGACAGGCCGGGCTTAGGCTGGGCCCCTTCTCCAGGATCTAAAGCACTCTCATCCCCTCCTCACCTCATCATCTTCCTCCAGGGCTGGGGCTGGCAAGGGAGCCACTCTCCTGGCTTCCTCCACGGGGCCTGGAGCTGCCAGGGCCCCATCCTGCTCGGCCTCCCATTCCTGGAGCACCTCCTCCAGATTGAAGCGGCGTCGGTAGCTCACAAAGAAAGTCTTCACCTGGGTCAGGGTCTTGTTCCCAATCACTTCGGCGACCGCCCCGAAGTCTTTGCCGTACCTGCGAATGGCTGCGAACGGACCAAGAATGTAAGCATCGCTCAGAAGCGATCACCTCCCAGGGCCCTCTGCTCTCCCCCAGGCCTCACTCACCCTGCACAGCCAGAAGCTGCTCGTCGGTGGTCCAGCGCGAGTTGAACTTGGTGTTGGCCTGAAGAATAAGGAATATGGAAGTGGAAGCCCTGCTCCATCCCCTTTCTGTCCAGGTCACCTCTTGAGAAAACCCCAAACTGAAGAAAAAAGCCTTACCTCAGGGGGGCGGAGAGGATCGATGCCACCCTCCAGCGCTTGGCGAAGGCTGCTATTGGTCTGCTTCATGCTCTGAACCTGGGAGCAAATGGCAGGACAGAAAGGCGCTTCAAACTACCTCAGGAAGGTTACCATGGCCAGTCCAAGCCCCCTGCCCCCCACCTCCTCTGGCACCCACCATCCTGCTCTCAAGGCAGCATGGAGACTAAGTTACTTTAAAAGACTCAAAAAGGAAAAACCAATGTGATCGGATGGGGCAGAACCAAGCTCAGCCATACACCACCTCCCTCACACCTCAGGTGCCCCCCTCACGTTGAGGTTCCAGGTAATAACCACCCCTTCGGCAAAGCCTTTTATCTTCACAAACCCCACCTGGCGTTTGAGAGAGATGAGCTGGGAATCAAGGCCTCGAAGTGTGAGGTTAGCAAGGTCCGGGCTCCCGGACACAGCAGCAAGGCCCTCGGGGCTCAGGTACATGCCCTTGGGTGGGCGCCGCCGGGTCCTCAGAGGGTGATGACGGTACTGGGACACCTGGACCTCCTTCTTCCCGGGGCCTTGGCGGGCATTCAGGGGCCGCGAGGGCAGAGGCTGCAGGAAAGCAGATAGAGTGACTGGCAGAGTCAAGGGAGGACAGGCAGGCAGGCAGGCTGGACTGGAACAGGACCTCACCTCTCTCTTGGGGTCTCCGGCATCAGGCTCGCCCTCACTCACAGTCCCCCGACCCTCTTCAAGCTCATCACTGCGGACAAGGAGACCATAAAGAAATGAGGCTGCGGCCAGAGCTGACCAGCCCTACTTGGCCCCACCACATGCTTATTCATGCCCCCACCTGTCTTCTTTGTCTTTGCGGCCCCCAAGTCGCCGGGCCTGCCTGTCCATCACGCTGGTCCGGCTTCGGGTCTTCTTCCAAGAGTAGTAATACTTAACCAGGCTGGGGATCAGCTTGTCAGGCAGCTGGGGAAGGCAATACAACAGATGGGATTTGTCCAGGTCTCGGGGTCATTAGGGGCTCACAGAGGAAGGTGCAGGTAAACTTGGGAGGAGGGAGACTTTACCATCTGCTGGATACGCTGGAAGCACTTGCCATGGAAGCCAAAGGCCTGTTCAAACAGCACCTTGTCCTCCACTGTCCACTCGTCAGGGAACGGAGTGAAGTTGGCCAGGTCCGCTAGCGACTTTTCCACGTCATGCTTGTGCCACAGAAGCATACCCAGTGCCTGGACCGGGACAGCCGTAGCTCAATTCACCTGCCCCAGAACGGCCTGTCCCCATGTCAAATCCCCATTCAGCCAGACCTCACCTGCTCGATGTTGTAGCCATGCTTCTCCTTGGCCATGGCAATGTACTTGTCAACTGCAGGGTGGAAGTAAGCAAGCCCTCAGAGGAGGGGATGTATCCCCATCCTCAGCCCTGGAAAGAGGGGTTCCCACCCAGGGGCCCCAAGAATGGGCTCCATCCACATCCCTGAGCGTCCAGCCCACTTCTGAGAAGAGCTGGTCACCAGGACATGCACTCAGCAGGCCATCCAGCAAGTGCTCCCCCCAGGGGTCCTGCCCACTCACGTTTAGCATCTGACACACAGTGGTTGGGCGACCACACCAGCATCCCTTTAAGCTCCTTGTTGCTGTAGCGCGCAGGGCTCTCTGGAAGGCAGTACAGCAGAGGAGGAAGCTCTTAGACCAGCCTCTGCTGCTCCCCTGGCTCCATGGCAAGGGCGGCGGCAGAGTGAGGCCAGGGAGGTGAGGCCCAGAAGGGACTGAGGGGCAGAGACCCAGACAGGAAAACAGAGCAGGAAAACCAAGCTGGGCCACAGGGCCACCCCCGCCTGCCCACTGGTCCTGTGATGGGAGCCGGCCAGGCAAGGCTCGCCAGGTGGGGCTTCCAGACAAGCCCTTGGCCCCTCCATCGCAGCCTGTCCTGCCACTCACCAGGCTTGCACTCCGGAATTACGGCCTGGTAATTGGTTCCAACGCGGATCATGCTGTCTGTGGAGCCAGAGGGAGGCAGTCAGGACTCCAGGGAGGGTGGGCAGGCGAGAGGATGAGGTGGGGGAGGTGGCTGGCCCCAAGCGCTCTTCCCTGACCTCCTGGGGCTCCCACCTTCCCGGAGGCTTACTTTCCCCTCAGATTCCCGCCAGGCTCCCCTCAGCCAGGAAGAACTGAAGGGTGGAGGCGACGGTAGGTTAAAGGGGTAAGGGAGGAGTTTCAGAGGCCAGGCCAAACAGACCCCATTACTCTCGCTGGGATTGTGGGAGACAGGCCCTCAAGGAACCTCAGGCTCCTTCCCACTACATGAGCCTCACGGCTCCGCGTGGAGGTGTCTTTCCAGCCCTGCCCATCAGACCACAGTCCCCTGCAAAGTGGCGCGGTAGAAGGGACACAGTACGAAGAAGGTGGGAACGCCTCAGCTTCACAGGATCAACTGCGAGCATGAAAGGCAAGGGCCCGGGTGGGCACCACCACCTCCGGGGCGACGCCAGGGTCCCAGCCCGGCAGCTTCCCCGTGCTGGTGGCCTCAGGCTTGGAAGAGAGGCAGGGCGGAGGCTCTGATCCAGGGAGGAGCAATCAAGATAATCAGCCCGCGGTCAGAACTACACCCACCCCAGCTCCGACGCGCGCGCGGACCGTGCGCCTTTACCCCGAGGCTGCCGGGCTCACCGTGCGAGTGCTCCTCCTCGCTGCTGTCATCCTCCGAGTGGGGCTGGCCGCCGTTGGGCGCCGTCTTGGCCCGGCTGCGGGACAGGATCCCGGAGCCCGCGCTCGGCTTCTCCATCACAGAGGGCATCACCCCGCCCAGCGGCCCCGGGGGGCGCAGGAGCCGACCGAGAGCGACCGTACTCGGCGCGCTCTCCCTGAGTGCCGTGCCCGGCCCGGCCTGGAGAGGTCGCCACTGAGGCTACGAGAGGCAGGTCAGCGTGGCTGGGGTCCTGCAGGGCAGCGGCCCAGCGTGCAGCCCCAACTCTCGGCGACCCCTGCGGGCAAGGGAGTCAGAAAAGTTTGTGCAGAAGTGGGGGTGAGGGCGCAGGATGAGCGCAAGGTCCGGAGCGGCCAAGGCGCGCTCGCTCTGTCTGCCCCACGGGCTTGAGCTCCCGGGAAGAAGTCTGCACGCTGCCCTCGGGGCGCTCCGGCGCCCACCGCCTACCCGTCCGTCCGCGCCGCGCAGTGGGCGGGCGCTGCAGCGCAACGTGCGCCCCCGCGAGCTCCGCGCCTCTCGGCGGCGCCCGGGATGCCCCGGTACCCAGGCAAGGACGCCGTCTCCACCAGCCAGCCCCCTGCCCGCGACGGCAGCCGGCGAGGGCCGGGCGGTGGCGGCGGCGGGACGGCGCGCACGGCGTGCGGCGCTGGGGCACAGTTACCGGGAGGCGGGCGGAGCGCAAGCCGTGGGCGCCGCCTCGCACCCTCCACGGCGCACTCTCCCTGCCTTTCGGGCTGCGGCTGGCCGGCCCGCTCCGCCGCCGCTCCTCGCGCACACAATGAAGCTGCTGGCAGGGAAGTAGTGCCGGCTGCGGCCTCAGCACCCCTCCCCCAGCCGATGCCTCCGCCAGCTGAACATCTGGCCCTGGGGTGGGAGGGAGGGCCGGGGGCGGGGCCTGGGCCGGGGCTAGACCTCAGGGGGTGGGGTCAGCACGCGGGTGGGGAACGCTCTTCTGCCTGCTCCCTTGCGTCCTGGGGCTCCCAGACGTGGCCCCGGGGGAGATCCTGGTGCTCCCCCCCAGAGTACCTGGGGGTCAGCCCCACCCACGCGCACACCAGCTCCACACATCAGTGGGCTCCGGTTACCTCCGCCTGCCCTGGGGGCCTAGAGGCCGCCTGCCTGCCTGCCCGCCCGGGTGGAGCCCAGCTTTTCCTTCCATTTCCCTTCCTGCCAAGGAACTCCCGCCCCCCTTCCGCAGGGGGACCCCCCCTTCATGCGCCCTTGGGGGCCCAAACGGATGAGAGGCCGGACCGGGCGAGGAATGCATTCCTCCAAGAACGACCGGGCCAAAGCCTGGCTTCTGTTGGCGCTGTGGTTCCCCAGAGGTCACCCCAGTTGCCTTTCAGCTGCTGCAGTCTGCACCCCCAAACCAATGAATCAGAGACCTAGGGATGGGGAGTGGAAGGTGCCAGGAAGGGCTGCAGCACGGGCGCCTCGCCACTGAGTTCACTATCACCCCAGCTGGGTATCAGCATTGCCCCCCCCCACCAAGCACGGGCAGAGTGACAGACAGGGAAGCGGGTAGAGCCGCACAGACGGAGATGGGGGAGGGGGTGGGCAGAGACTTTCAAAGCCAGACCCAGCCACCCTGCCAGGCACACAAAGAGCCAGCGCGCACACCGGCGGCTCCGCGCCCGGGCTGCGCCTGTGCCTGTCCCCGCCGCCGGGGCACGTGCTGCGGCGCACACAGGCCGAAGCCCCCGCCACTGCCCCGCCCCGCCCGGAGCCCTGGCCTCCTGGACACACCTCCGCCGGGCACACCCCGCGGTGCCCAGACGGAGCCGAGTTTGCACCCGCGTCTCCTCTCCTCTCCCTCCTGGGCCACTCTGTAATCAGATTCCTAAATTTAGAAGCAGCCCTGGGCCCAGCCAGGGATCCCAGCCCCCACCCGCTGCCTGTGGTCAGTCGGTTGGGGGCTGCGGTCAGGCCGCGACCTGGCTGGGCAGCCTGTTCCTGGGGTACCAGCACGCGGCAGGCAAAGTCAGGCCCGACCCCACCCAGCTGCGGCGCTGTGGGACCATGGGGCCACCTTCGGGCCACCCAGCCTGCGACCACATTGGCCAGGACACCTCGGGCCAGGGCTCAGGGCCTTTTTTCCTCCTTGTAAATCGAGGATTGGGCACCCAGCCCCGGCTGGAGAGGTCTGGACAAAGGAAGAGAAGGAACGAGCCCAGGGCAGGTCTGCGCTAAGAGGGTCTGCCCCAAGGTGACCCCTCCAGAGTGGCAGGGTGCCATCCAACCCCCGCTCCCCAACAGCTCCAGCCCTAGAAGGCTCCCATTTGTGTCCCCTCCTGCCTGGCAGGCGGCCATCCGGCACCACCGCCCTCTCCCAGGATGGAGCCCTCCATCTTAACCCTGCCCTCAGGCTCCCACGAGGCCCGGCCTCTGCCTCCCCCGCCCCGCTCCCACCTAGGGGCCTGGGCCTCGCCGCCCTGCCCCTCCCCCAGCCTCAGCATCCCGCTCTTTGCAGGCCTCGTTCCTCCAGGGCTGCCCCAGGACCCCCAGACATCCGCATCTCTCCCTCCGCAAGCACCCAGGCCCTGCCCCCACCCCCTTAAGACCCTAACTCTGCTCTCCCTCCCCCCCCCCCCCCCGAGCCTGAGGCTCAGGGCCAGAAGATCCTGCTCTGAAGTGGGGGCTGGGAGAAGAGGTTTATTCCTTTGTGTGTGGGGGGCTAGGGGGTCCCTGGGCCCTGGTGTGTGAGCTCCTGCCTAAGAGATGGGACACTGGGGCATGTCCTTGAGTTTGGGGGCGACTGAGGGGGCCACAGTGTCTAGAGAGGCACATTCCCAGCTTGCAGCCCCCTCCCCAAGGGGTAATGGTGCAGGGTTCAGAGGGGGAGGGGCAAGGCCCCACCTCTCCCACCTGCTGCAGCCGCCCCCTCCCCAGCTGGCCCCCTCTTTTGTGCGAAGCCACACAAAGGACAAGGGGCCCCGGCCGGCCTGGCCATCTGCTCCCGGCAGCCTGAAGGCTCTTAAAGGGACAGCACCCCCCTCCCTGCCGCCCTGGGGCTGCGGGGCGGGGCCAAGCAGGGCCGCTCCACAGGAGGCGGGTTCAGCGGGACCCCCAATCCCACCCATCAGTCCCTGGCTTCCCAGGACCCCAGGCCAGGCACCATTCCCTGCCAGGCCTAGGGCGCAGAGGTGCCACGTGGTCAGGAACAAGGAGGTGTGGCGGGGGGGAGAGAGAGGCAGCCGAGGACTGGATCACCTCCCCTGCTGCCCTGGGCGGCCCTGGAAGCCCTGGGGTGCGGCCTAAGACCTGGGGTCCCTCACCCCGGAGGCCTCCTCCGAGCTCAGCGAGCATGGCGTGTCCCCGGGGAATGCCCTCACTGCCATGACCTGCTAGTTGCCCCCCACGCCTTGATCTTTCCACAGCAAAGACCAAGGGCTGTAGGACACTGGGGCATTTGGAGGCCTCAGCCCTGGTGCAGCAGCCTCGTGCGTTCGGGGCTCATTTGTTTCCTGCATTCGTTTCATAGATGAGGAAACTGAGGCTTTGCCAGGTGCCTGCACAGCCGTGAGCCTGAAGCCGGGCTCCCTGCCGGGGCGCTGGGGTCCCACAGGGTGCGCCTGGCCAGACCAGGCCATCCCGCAGTGCGTCTGCGGCGCAGCTCGCCACATGAATTTGCATTATTTGTGTGAGTGCGGTTCCCTGTCTCGCGCCAGCCGGTGAGCTCCTCCAGGCCCGGCTTTGTGTCCTCCTCATTCCGGGGCAGGCAGGCATGTATTTAGAAGGCACTTAGGAATTGTTGAGTGGATAAATATGGGGAGTCCAGGAGGCAGCCCCGGGGCTCCCCGGCCCTCGGAGGCCAGGCATCTGGCCCCCTCCCTCCTCAAGGTGAAGCCGCAGGGACAAAGGTCAGAGGAGGATGCTGGGAAAGAAAGAAGGGATGACCTTGGGCCCTCCACCAGCTGCCCCTCGCGGCTCCCTCCTCCCAAAGGCGGGGGCAGCTCCAGCCAATCCCGATGGCCAGTCCTGCCAGACAGACTGGGACTGCCCCAAGCCCTGGGCCAGCGAGGCAGGCCGCTGTGGTGGTGCCTGGGACCCAGCCAGGCCCTCTGTGGCCACAGCCCAGGGGCTAAGCTTGGGGAAGAAGGGCCATGGGGTCGGGGATGGGGATGGAGGGGGTCTCAGCCAAGCCTGGCTGTGCATTTGTGGGGCCTCGACAGTGCACTCCCTTCCATTGGGGGTGGAAGTGGGGAAGGTGAAGCTGGGAACGGAGAGGGTCAGCTGCAGGCTGGGGGGCGCTACAGGGCTCCCTCCCTGCCCCCATCCTCTCAGACAGGAATTCCACCTTCTTCCCTCTTCTCCCTCCTCCCAGGCAGGTCTTGAGGCCCCAGGAACTTCCTTCCCCCTCCCGGGGCTTGCCGATGATCTGGGCGACACTCCCACTCGGCTAGTGAAGAGGCAGCGGGAAGATGAGGGAGGTGATAACTCTGGTGTGTGTGTGTGGCATCACCTCCTCGTGCCCAGGGAGGAGAGGGATTCACAGGGCTGGGGGGAGGGCGGGGAGGAGACCCCGGCTTCCTGACACCCACGCCTAGGAAACCTGACTCCCTTCACAGGCGGGAAGTAGAGAGGGAGGTCAGCCAGACGTCCGCTGGGAGGGACAAGGGAGGTATGGGGCCCTCTGGACTCAAGGGGGCAGGCCCCAGGCGCTCTGGCCCTGGGGAGGCCCCCCTCTCCCTCACCTGGACAAACCTGCATCCTGAGCCGGCCGGCGCCCTCTGGCGGTGACAGCTCGGACCAGCGGGGTCTCCCCTCAGCCTGGCACCCAGAGAGTGGCTTCTTCTGGCATGAGTGCTTGGTCCCCGCGACACAGGATTCTGCGTCTTCCATCCAACCCCTAGCAAATCTCTGCCCCCAGAGCCAGAGCGAAGCTGATCCCTCCAGAGAAAGGGCAGTGGAGCCCCAGCCCGGACGTGCAGATTGCTGGTCAGACAGGGGCCCAGGTCCGCCTCTTCCTGGCTGTGTGACCTCAGCTCTGTGACTCGGCCTCTCTGAACCTCAGTCCAGCCCAATCTAACTGGGGCTATCCTTCATCACGTTTCCAAAGTTACATCTTAGAGGGAAGACTCTCCCACAGA